AACTGAAAGATTACTATTGTATACCTCTTATTCTCCTGTGTTTAATTGTTTGCCCTATTTGGTGGGTTCTTTCCATTCTCATTCATGGGGCTGTGTGTATCTTCTTTCTTTAGGACAATTACCAACATACTATTTTTGGTATATACAGAAGACTCTAATTTTTTAAAAAATCATTAATTAATTTGGTATAGGGTCTTGCTACACAGCTTAAACTCAATAATCCTCCTGTCTCAGCATCCCCAGCACTGGGATTACAGGCATGCACCACCATTCCTGGTTTTGGGGCCGGCATGACGGTGCTCAGGATTCGGGGGCCAGCACAGCCTGTGGTAAGGGGATCAAACTTGGGTCTTTGTGTTTGCCAGGCAGATGCTTAGACCATTGAGCTATCTCCCCAGCCCTTTTTTTTTGCAGAACTGGGGATTGAACCCAGGCCCTTGAGCTTGCCAGGGAAGCAGTTTTCTACTGAGCCATCTCCCTGGCCACCCTCTAAATTATTTTTAAAATATAATATCTACTAAACCAAACAATTCTAAAACCAATCAGACATATATAAAGATTACATTAAATTGCTTTACCTTTAAGGCTGAAATTATAGTTTGCTCAGCAGCTGGTGGGAATGAGCTCTGACTGGAAACTACCTAGAACAAAGTTTTGATCAAGTTATATTTTTGCTTAAGTCATGTATTGTTGTGAATATTAATGTTTTTCAGAACATGACAAAGCTGTCTTCATAAGCTACATTAAAATATCATTATATAGTATCTCTCACATGATTTAAAAACTCAGTTGAAAAATACTTTCATGTACAAATCAAATACACATTTCAAATACAGACATTCCTCATTGTCCAATGATTGTTAAGTCTACCTATTAATCCACTGTTGGAACTTACAACCAAATTGTACTGCTTGGCCTTATAAATACATCTTTTTTGATATACTTATTTTATTATTTATTCATTTGTGCAGAACTGGGGATTGAACTCAGGCCCTTGCACTTGCCAGGGAAGTGCTTATTCTACTGAGCCATCTCCCCAGCCCCTTGATACACTTCTTTTTTTTTAAAGCTTTTTTTTTTTTTAAATTTTATTTATTTTTTCATTGTGTGTGTGTGTGTGTGTGTGTGTGTGTGTGTGTGTGGCCAGCTCAGCCCACCAGGGGGCGGGGCTGGCTGGCATGTGGTGCTGGGGGATTGAACCGAGGTCCCTGTGCTTTGCCAAGCTTGTTCCAAGTAGGTGCTTTAGACCACTGAGCCATCTCTCCAGCCCTGATACACTTCTTTACATCTTGTTTATAGATCTGCAATACATCTTGTTTATACAATACTGTATTTGCTGCTGTTTCTGCTGTATAGTACAGTACAACACTATAGTTCTATGTTGTTATACATGAAAGTACCAAATATGAGAGTTGTGCAAATAAAGCAAAGTTATCACATCGAAGTTTCCTTTGAAATTTTGTCCTGAAGGGCCAGGGACATAGCTCAGTGGCACAGTATCTCCCTGAAGTGTTGTCTTGAATATTGTAATATATACACAATATGATTCTCATTTAGAGACCAATTCAATAAATCTAGTCACAGGTCTATAACTTGGTTATTAAACAAGGAATATCTGTAATTAAAACCATAATAATTCTAAGGGCTATTTTTCCTTTAATCAGTTCAGATAGGTTTTAACTATAAAGTTTGAGCTTGAAAGGGTCAAAATAAAGTCGTATTTATTCTTTCTAAAATATTCATTTTTCTTTACTCTGACTCTTCAGTAAGTTTTTAAAATACAAATTTTAGATACTTATATTTTTAGAAGTCAATCAAAAATACCAATAAAGATATAAATCAGGCTAAATATAACAACTTTTCATGTCCAGTGGTGCTTTCAAGTAATGATAAAAATAAAAATTTTTTGGATAAACTTTACTTTTCTGAGATCTACTCATTAATAGTCCTTTAAAATATATTGTGCTTAGTATGTGAAATACATATTTTTCAGAAACCTCTAACTGAAAAAATAATTTGGTAAAAATTTAAATAAATGTTTACTAGTTACAGAACAATTCTAAAATACAATCATATTGAAGCTCATCTTATGGGTGAAATTTGTAAGAACATTAGCTAATCTTCATCTTCCTTCAAGTCTTTCCTACTTGTCTTTCTACTTACTAAGTCCTTTGAAAATGATCTACAGAGTATAAACATGAGCTACTAGAAAGTCATGGATGAAATTAAAAGTGTTGTTTTCCTAGTAATGAAAAATATAGCTCAGCTTAATCCTAATAAGAGTTGGCCCCTAGGCTCTGGATTCTGCATCCATAGGTTTAAACAAACATGGATTAAACAATTAAATAATTTTAAAAGACAACTGCATCTGGTGCTAGGGATGTAGTATGTAGGAAGGTCTTAGGTCCAACTCCCAGCCACAAATAAACAAAAACAAAACAAAACAAAACAAAAAAGTGTATTTATACGAAAAAGGTGCATAACTTTCCCTTGTTGTGATTCCCCAAACCATACATTGTAACTATTTGCACTTGGTATTATAATCTAGAAATACTATATGCAGGAGGATACCATATACAATGGTTGGAGAATATATACAAATGCTACACTACTTTAGATAAGGGATTGAGCATCTATGGATTTTGGTATCCACGAAAAGTGGGAAGGAGCCCTAGAACCAATGCCCCACAAATACCAAAGTATGGCTGCACATGGAGGCAAACAAGTTCAGGTTTTGCCATTTCCTTTAAATGCTTTAGTAGAAAAGAAACAAAAATAAGAGAATACTGTCTATTTTCAAATAGTCATTAATGATAATGCTATAAAAATTTGGTGTTTTTAATAACCTAGCTTTTTTGAGCTACAGTAAGACTTTTTGACATACTGCAGGGCCTGACGTTTCTTATCCTGTCATTATCTTTGCTATATCTTATTAATACCTACACAACATCAAATTAGTTTTCAATAAGTATGAAATACATTTATTCATCCTTTAATAATTTGTGCCATCAATTTGATTAACTTGAGAGACTATATAGTTCTGTGTTTTAAGCCAAATATAAGAACAAAAAAAAAAAAATAGGAAAAATAAATGCCAGGATCAAAGAATGAACAAGAGTTAACTCTTCATTTTACAATCATGACATTTTCATATTCTTTTCCAAAAAGCTAGTAATTTGTGAATTGTCTAAATTTGAGCCAAGAGTAAAGAAGATGAAATTAAATCAAAAGAAAGAATTTAAACAAAATAAAGGTACCTTTGTGATTGACTGGTGCAACTTATACAAGGAATTCACTACAGCCACATTTCTTTTCTGCCCTTCAGTAAGAGGCCCAATCACCTGGCTTGCATCTCCTTGTGTGGACAGCTGTAAGAATTCAACATAAGGTATTACCACATTGATGCTACATATTTTTCTTTTAACTGGGGAGATGTTCATACTCACTTGAAAGCAGACTATTAATTGGAAAATTTACCTGGATATCAAGTTAAAGATTTGTACTTCAGGTAAAAGGAATCACTACAGAGATAACACCTTCAATATGGAAGCTAATTAGTCTTGTAGAAGAACAATTCTTTTAATACTTCACTGCTGATGAGCCCATGAGACAAGTGTGACCCAAATGCCCAGTGTGTGCTGTTATTTTGATACACTAGCATAGCAACCCTAAGGAATACCTTCTGGCAATTGCCAGCAGACTTCTCTCTACTTGGGAACTCCGCTATAAGGCACCAAATGAAGAATGCAAAACAGGAGGGGAAATAAATCTCAGTTTTGTGCATACTTGACAGCCAGCCCAATATTCCACTGAAATGGATGGTGGAAAGAGGGTATTACTCTTTTGGCAGGCCTTGTTTTTATTTTTTATTTTTCTTAAAAAAAAATTGCCCAAGATTATACTATGTGTGCATGATCAGTAGAACTGATATTAATATTTTTACATTCATAGTCTATTTCTAAATGAAGTTTAACAGAAAAATATGGATTGCTTTATTGAATTAATTTGTGTCTATTATAGATTGTGTTTAAGAAAAATAATCCACACATTATTCATTGTCCTATTGATCTGATTTTCATCCAGTCCTCTATAGTAACTATTACTTGAAGGTAAATTAAATTTGACAAAGACATATATTGGGGCTGGTTAAATAGCTCAGCGGATTAAAACACCTGCAAGCAGGCACAGGGCCAGGAGTTTGATCCCCAGGCCTGCCATGCCAGGCCCACCCCTGGGGCACACTGAGACAGCAATTGAGACTAGGCACGGTGGCACACGCCTGCAATCCCAGCTTTTGGGAGGCTGCAAACAGGCAGGTCACTAGGAATCCAATCTAGTAGTGAGACCCTGAACACCCTGTAGACCCTTCCCTAAAATACAAAAAAAAAAAAAAAAGACATAAAACATGATATAATTTACTCCATGAATATGAACAGAGATCTCAGCCATGAAAAACTGACCTTTTATGAGAATTAAAACTAAGAAAGCCTTCCCATTATTATAGTAAGCCACAAAAACTGAAAAAAGAAATACTACATTTTTACTCTTTCAAAAAACACATAATTTTTAAAAATTAAACTCCATCTCTACTTTTTCATTTCCTACAAGTATTAAATGGCATGGTTAAAAAGCATTAAAAACTAAGTTAAGCAAAGGGAATAGTTTTTCTTTAAAGTTGCCACTCGAGGTGGTGGTTAAACACACATTTAGACATTTTCATACTAGGTTAAATAATTCTAATTTATTTTTAATTTTCTAGTGGATATAGTTAGCAAATTGAATGAAATTGTGTTCTAAAGTACTCATTTGTGAGTTGGAAGTCTGAAGAAAGTTGTATTTTTCTGTAGTGAAATGGTGTTGAAAGTTAGATATTCAAAGGAGCCCATCAATCTAATTTAGTCTCAAATGTGGCAAGTTATCAACAGAAGCTCTGGGCTTCCAAGAGAAAGCAGATGATGGGCTCTGTATACTGTGTGTGGGGCACTCAGGAAATTAAATTGCAATGGTCAAAGGCATCAGTATTATGGCAGTGGCAGGGGTGACTATATACCTGACTACAACAAGCATTTAAAAGTTAGGAGCTCACTGCACATGCTTGTAGTCCCAGCCTCCAAGAGGCTGAGGCAGGAGGGTTATATGAGCCCAGGAGTTTGAAGTCTGTTGGGGTATCACATCAAGACTTAGTCTCAAAAGAAAAAAGAAAAAAAAAGAAAGAAAAGTAATGAGCTTCAGCCACACAATTTTAAACACCCAATCTTTCTTTGTTGTCTCAAACAATTTTAAAGAGTTAACAAAGAAATTGGAAACAGAATTTTTCTTATTTTATTTCAATTTATATAAATTAATTTTATCTTTTTTAAAAAATTAATTTTATCTTAATTCATGTGTTTCATATTTAATGAAGAAACAAGTTTACTGGGAGAAAAAGCTAGAGAACATTCATCAATGAGGACTATTCATATTTGGGTGGCTTTATAAGTATAGAAAAGTCCACTTCTCAGCCACAATGATAGATATGTACTAATAAACATATCTATTATTAATAATAAAAAAGAAAAGCCCAGTATTCCATCCCAGTGATGGTATCATCAGAACAACAGAGGTGACAATTGTTGGCCAGGATGTGAGGGAAAGGAACCTTCATATACTGCTGGTGGCAAAGCAAAATGGAAATACAGTCAAGTAGCTTTTCAAAGGCAAAAACAGGCAACAATATGACTCAGCAATGCATCTCCTAGTGATATGATATACACAAGGGAAAGAAAAACAAGTTTACACAAAACTGTGCAAAAAATGTTCATAGCCACGTTACTTATAACCAAAAATTGGAAACAATCTAAATATCAACCAACTGATAAACAGAAAAATTAATGTACACTATGCATATAAAATTAGCAATAAACAATGAAGTTGACACATACTACAACGATCTTTAAAACATTATCCTAAGTAAAAGGCAGTCAGAAAAGGCTATCTATTAAATGATTACATTTATCTGAAATATCCAGGAAAAATAAAAGCAAATCCATAGACACTATCCAACTATCTATCTCATGTTGTCAACCTCATTGATGAAAATGTTGCATAAGACAAAGCTGAAAACATAGTTTTCTCCAAGATGAAAATCAACCATTAATTAAGACTATTACAAATTGAGTAAATTACTGGGCAAATCTACTGAGATACATTGGTGTCCAACCTGTGTAATTCCATCATGTCCACGGGTTATGGAATACTCTCAATTATTTTACTGAAAGCTAGGTATAATGGCTCTATGACATTCCCTTGATAATCAAGTCTAGGCATTTTGTCAAAAAGAAAACAGTTAATACATCATGTTCTATCATTGAAAAATGTTCAAATCCTAGTGCTTTGTAAATGAATGAAATAAGCAGGAATCAGGAATTCACAAAGCTGGACAGGAGTGTGAAATACAAACTAGTCTTGGCTTTAGGCAAGGTTGCATCAGAGTCAGCAGACATTTTTAAAGTATTCCAGAAACAAAGCTTTATTGATAGCCACACTGTCATTATGTTTTTCTTCCTGAAAAGGTAAGACATTCCCCCACTGATATTTTTATAAACACTGTAATACTTTTCCTAAGATTTTTTATTATGAACATGTTCAAATATACAGAAAGGTCAAAAAAGTGTAAAACAAACTCCACTATACTGATAACCTAGATTCCACAATTAATACTTTATTTATTTATTTATAATATTTATTTGTGTGTGTGTGTGTGTGTGTGTGTGTGTGTGTGTGTGTGGCCAGCTCAGCCCACCAGGGGGCGGGGCTGGCTGGCATGTGGTGCTGGGGGATTGAACCACGGTCCCTGTGCTTTGCTACAGCTTGTTCTAAGTAGGTGCTTTAGACCACTGAGCCATCTCACCAGCCCCACAATTAATATTTTAAAATACTTGCTTTATAAATCTATTCCTCTATCCATTTTATATTTTTGAAGCTTCTCAAAACAACTTGTTGAGATCAGTGTACTTGTTCTTTCTGATTACACCTACTGATTAGTTTTGCTAATTCTATAACTTTGCATAATTTTTTTTTTTTAAAGTATGCCTGTAAAGCAGGCCAGGTGTGGCAGTACATGCCTGCAATCCTAGCACTTTGGAGGTTGAGGCAGGAACTGCTGAGTTGAGGGCCAGACTGGGCTACTTAGTGAGGCCCTGTCTCTAAAATCCATAAATAAATAAGTAAATAAGCAAGCAAAGGAGTGAGCAAGCGAGTGAGCAAGCAAGCAAGTCAGCCTATAAAGCCTCTTCACTCAACATACTGTTTTTGGCATTCAGAGATTTGTTCCTTTTCACTGCTACTAGCATTGCACTGAATGTATTTCTCAGTTTGCTCTGCCTACTATTCTCTGTTAACAGCTACCTGCAGTAGACAAAGACTAGATATTTTAGGAGTATAAAGAGTCTTGTCTCTGCCACTTGCTAGTCAAGTGACTTGTAGCTTCAATTTCTTCAGCAATAAGGTGGAACTAATAATAATGCTTACAGCAAAGGAGGCTGTGTAAACTGTCTCTCTAGACAATTCCAGCCCATTCTTAATTGTGCTCACTTATGCTTCCCTTGTGTTCTTGTTTCAGTACTGGCCAGGGACTACAGACACAGATTAAGATTTGGGAATCAGAATCCAACATGGTGAAGGTGTTTGAAATTTAGAGTGAGTTCTGTTCTACTTGGGCCAATGCAACAAAACAGCCAGCACACAGTAGTTGCTTTATTTCAGAATCCTCTACTCATCTTGAGTCACTGTAACTTTTATTGTCTCCCTATTTCCTGCATTTGTGTTCCTTACAATTCACTTTTTACTAAAAACTAGTTTACTAGTTTTCACTAAATTACTTATAGGGAGTTATAAATCTGATTCTGAGAAGTATCTAAACAGAGCAATAATATATTGTAAATGAGGTATGAATTACAAAAGTATAAATTACTTTCCAGATATTGTGGAAACACTACTAAGGATCTATGTATCTATTATTTCCATTACTACTAAGACAATGTCAAAGACTACAAGATAATTCCTTTTACATAGATTATTCATAATCCTTCTGATTACTTCTCTTTAAGCATACATTAAATATATCAGAATAAGTCTCTATTATAATTTCACAGATTTAAAGAAGCAAAACAAAGTAAAATGTATACTAATCACATTCTTTCCTAAATAAAAATGAATAAACATTTTTATAGTAAAGTCATGTGTTTTTAATAAAAACTCTGAAGTAAGCTTCGGTGAACCTTTATAGTTATAGCTATACTAATTTCCAATACATCATATACCTTTGTCTATTACTGAATTGATTTTAATATATAATTTCTAGTAAGATAAAATGTTTTGATCTAATACA